GGCGATGGAATTTATTGGATATTCCTTCCACATTGGAATCCTCGGGAGGTATAGTGATTGATGCTTCATCAGAAATTAGTACGACCGTTAACTCTCGAATTATGGCTTGCGATTTCGAGATCTTTTTAGGCTTATTTTCATGGGTGTTATCTTCCGGTTTCTTCCTTTTCTTTTTGGAAGCTTCGTTAATTGAGATAGCAGTTGAGATATAATATCCTTCTTTTTCTAAATTATCTGCCGATGGGCATTTAGGACATAGATTACGCTTGTTGCCAATGCACTCGAAATGGATAACGTGTTTATATATTAATAATACGATTGGCTTTGAACATTCTGGAGAGATGGCTTTGGAACACTTGGAGCATATTTCAAGAGTTGGTTCAATAGCACTTTTGGGTGAAGAGGAGGCTCTTTATTTTGTAAAGCTTGAGTAAGACCAATATCAGTGTTGCTCTCAAATAATGGAAGATCTCGTTCATTTCCAGACATAATGCTAGTTAGGTCCTTCTGTGGAGTTATCATAGAGATTTGTGGTGATATTTCCATTGGATCCTGCGACCTTGTTTCATTAATAGCTGAAGTGAGGGAGGTTTCGATATCTTTGTATCTGCATCCCACATTCGGACATCTCGCTCCCACAGTTAGCAGATGGTATTCGAAGCACTTTTGATAATAGATATGCCTACAACTGGCCAAGGTAAATTCTTTGATATTACTTGCGGGGTGTGGAATAAACTCTTGTCCACATAACTGGCATGGATCCGGTTTTGATACTTCAATGTTATAATTTAAAATTCTCGGAATTGCACTGAGAACATTTTTTGCAAATGCTATAATATAAGTTTTATCCATGCTTTGAACAATAAAAATACATATTTTTCATTATATACCTGTTTACATATCGTCCGAATTATTTATACGTCCCAACTCGAATTGACATTACATCCGAAATGGTGCAAAGATAGATAAATTTATTCATTCTTAGTGAAATTTATGATCGGCAAAAACATGAAAATTAATCAAAAAACGGCGAATGAGAGTATATGTGAGAAATTGGGTCGCACAAAAACATGTGGATCTAACCTGTAAAGTGCTTATTCCTCTGCATCCACGTTATCTCAAACATATACTTCGATCACAGGTAATGGAAACGTAATACGTAAAAATAGTTAATCTAAGTTACGCTTTATATGTCGATTAATAAACTTACCAGATGATTAATTTATTTTTTGTGGCATTTTCACTTTTTTTACAACTGTGACCTTACATACATCTTTCGAACCTGAATTGAAAGAATAAGAAGTGCTTGTATCAGAAGTATCAGTATCCGAATCCATGGAATACTTGACTCCACCTTTCTTGCTCTTATTTTGACGTGAGCGAGAATTAGAAGGACCTGACTCATTATCATTTAGCTATACCAATTCTTCTATCTTTCCACCTCTCAGTTCATTCTCAATATTGGAAAGTCTTTTAAAAATCCCATAATATATATCATTTTCTATAGAATGAACTGACTTCCAAATATTATTGAGGTACGTTTTTAATGAAAGCTTTCCACACCCATCGCCTAAATCTACTTTAGGATATTTCTTATTCTTGCTAACTCTGCTATTTTTGGGTACATCATTATCTAATCTTCTGGGTGGTTCAGGGGATATATTACGAGATATTTTGTGATGCCTTTTTCAGTACTTATTATTTTCAACATCTGAGAGAATTTTATTGATCATATTCGTAATCTCATCCTTAATTAGACCAGCTTTAGACTTCACCAAATTAGATGAGTTATTTTTACCAGAGCTGGTTTTATGACTCTTCGAGTTATCCATGGGCCTGCCATCTCCTTCGATCAATGGGATACTCATATTATCTATTACAATTTTATCACGGTGTTCATAGGTTCTGGAAGAAAATCCAAAGATAATTTTTACTTTATGCATCCATAACCATTTTTGCCCCAGCACCAAATCGAATGATGGATTTTTGCAAATTTGAAAGTCTATTACTTCGGTGCCATCTAAGCTTCGTCACTTTCCTTTATAGTAAAATTGTAGATCTAAGCCTTTTATTTCTTCACCTATCAAATCATCACCAGATACGCCTTCCAACCTATAATCTTCTTCAAGCTTATCGAACAACCTCTTACTAATGGTATTAAATTTCAAGGATGTATTAATTAACGCTTTGACTGGGGTTTTTCCTTCTACAAGAGTATCAACGAACATGTTAAGTATATTTAATAATGTATATTATCACGAAAAAATAACTAATAACTTGATAAATAATTATACATTCTCTAAGTTAGACGAAAAAATTAAATATGACAGATAAGTAGGTCGACTTGCTTTCCTACATTAGGTAAATATAATTTATTAAACGAAAAATTAGTCACATGTCATCGCTCCCTCGAGGCT